CTAGAAAATATAAATATTCTCTATTTCTTAAAAGACTTTTTATAATATAAATCAGATATTCGGACCTTAAGAAGCTTTTCTTAGTCCAAATATATTTTTAGGATATTATATAGTAGCTTCTAATAAATAGTATTAAGATTATTCTTAAAGCTTATTATATTAGGAAAGGAAATAGGTTCTAATCCTATTTTAGGAAGTTTCTTAGTAGAAATTACTAAGGAAAATAGAGTAAACTTATAAATAGAGTTTCTATAAGATATAGTAAACTATAAGGTATTCCTAAAAGTACTCTTATATTACTTTAATTATAGGATATATTAGTTAATTATATCTACTAATTCTTGCTTTTATTAGAGCACTTTAACTTTAGTATATAAGCCCTATTCTATAGCTTAGGTAATAGTAATTCAGGTATTAATCTCGGTATCTTAATTATTACCGGAATTATTTCCGTTATTATTACTAGCTCTCGGAGGCTCCTGAGGGGCCTTATTAAAAGTATTAGATAAGCCTTTACTATTACTCATATCGAGGTTAATCTAGTTAACTTTCTCTATAGAAATAACTTTAGTAAGAGGTTATATATTTTGCAGATTTCGAGATATAATTACTTATTAAACTACCTTTTTTAAGGGTAAAGAGATTAGCTTATAAGGTATTTATTAGTAAGTAATAAGATAATAGAATAAATTAGTAAGTTATGAAATTATAGTATTAAATTTAATATAGAACTAATTTCTGTTCTTCCTATAAGGTCCAGAGAAGCCCCTTCTAAATAGGAAACCCTAATAATATATATATAATTAGTAATTTATAAGCCTAATACTTATAATATAAATAGTAATTAGTTGTGAAATTAAAGGGCCTCCGATTTCCCTAATTAATACCCGTAATATCCGAGATTTATTATATGCCCTTAAGTTATATATAACTCTATATATATTATAATTAATTAATATAAATAAGCTAGAGATTTATTTTAATAATTTTAATAATTATTTTATTACTTTTAATAAATATTATATATTTATAATACAATTTTTTAAATACTTTTTTCTTGCTTTAAAATATTTTATTATAAAGCTTTATTTCCGAATTCTTTATTTATAACTCTTATTTTCTTTTTATAAAAGTCAAATTATAATATTTATATTATTTATTTAATTATTTATTTATTAATAAATTCCGAAATATACTAAAATAAGTAAGCTATAATATTAATATAAAAGCCTTTAAATATTTTATAAAATATTATAAGTAATACTAGAAATATAGCTAATTATTTAAATAATTCAAGTTTAATTTAAAAAATAATATTAGTTTTAATTGTTTTATTATTATTATTATTTATATTTCTAGTAAGTTTATACTTTATATTATTAATAAAGGCACTCGATATTAAACCGGCTAATAGATTTAAAATATTAGTATAATAGATATTTGAAATATTTATAAATAATATTAAATTAATAATTATTTAAATTCTTTTAATTAGATTATAATAAATCCCGAAAAGTAGTTTATTAATAAAAAGTTTATTTAACTTATAAATATTATAAATATAAAGATTAAAATCGTTTTTATATAAGCTTATAATTCTATTAAAATTATAAAATATTATTATAAATTAATCTAATATATTTATTTTATTATTATAGCTAAAATTAATAAAAATATTATATTTTAAATAACTTTTAAGGCTATTAATAACTTTATAGAACTTAATAGTATTAGTTTAATTATTTTAATATATAATACTTTATTACTTATTATTTTATAATAATTTATAGCTTTTAAGAAAGTAATAATAGAAATTCAAAAGCTTTAAACTAGATATTAAGTTATAATTACTTTAAATACTAGAAATAATTCTAATATAACTAATATTTATTACTTTTTTTAAATTTAAATATTTTTATATAATATAAAGAAAATATTAATAAATTTAATAATTATATAAGCTTATAATTATTAATAAAAAGAATTATATACTATTTTTATTATATAATAATATTATTTTTTATTTGACTTTTATTATATTCTTTTATATTTCGGAAATTTATATTAATTAATTTAAAGCTAATTCCGAAAAACAAAATATAAATATTTCTTTATTAAAATATAATAAAATATGATTTTATAAGAATTGAAATATTATAATATAAGAACTCTTATTAAATTAAAGTTATTAGACTTTTAGAAAAGAATATATTTGAAATTACTTTTAGATTTTAGATATTAGAAAAAAAAATTTAATTATAGATTTATTAATAAAGTTAAAAATAAGAATACTAAGAAAAAGCTAAAATTAAAACTTATTATTTAAGCTTATAATAATAAAGAGAAATATATTATATTAATTTAATTATTTATTATTTAATATATTAGCCAGAGAATTATTTTTAGTATTATTTTTATAATAATAAATATTATAAAATTATATTAATATAATATCTTATAAGTTTATATTTAATTAATAACCTTATTTAATTATAATTTTTATATTAATTTATTTTATAAGCTTATTAAAGAGCTAAATCTAAAGAATTATTTTATTTTAAAAATTATAAAACTATTATATAATATATTAAAAGCCGGAAATTATTAGTTTAAAATTATTATTCTTATTATATTAATAAGTTTTTTATAAAATAATTAATTTATAACTCTTGCCTTTTTTATAATAAATAATTCTTTAAAATTATTAGCCTTTAAACTAATAATACCTTATTTATTAAAATTAATAATTTTATAAAAATAAAATAATTAATATTTTAAGAAACTAAGTTTTTAGCTAAGAAATATAAATATCTTATTTTTAATTATAATTTCAAGTTTAATAAATGTATTATTTATATAAATATTACTAGAATTACTTTTATATAAAAATACTAATATAAAACTTTCGAATTATTTCTATAAAAGATATTATTATTATAAGTAATAAGAATACTATTTATTAAAGTCTTTTTATTAAGAACTAATATATTATTTAATAAGCTAAAAAGTATATATTATATTAGTTTATTAACTAGAAGCTTTATATAATTTTTTAATTATTATATGATTTATTAATTATTATATAATTTATTAATTATTATATGATTTATTAATTATTATATGATTTATTAATTATTATATAATTTATTAATTATTATTTAAATTATTAAATTATTAGAAACTAATATAAAAGCATTTAATAAATATATTTAATAACAAATTAAAAATACTATTAGAAAACTAAGATTTATAAAGCTAATAAAGAAATTCTTATATTTAATCGTTTTTATAAATAATAGAAATCTCTTTTCTTAAATTGAATATATTCTAGTTCTAGTAAATAAAACTAGATATATTAATATTATTTACTAGTTCTTTATTAAATATAAGAGAATTATTAAAAGTATTCTAGTTTCGAAAATATAATAATATAGCTTATAGCTTTAATATAAGTGCTTTAATTAAATCTATAATTAATAAAATACTAGAAATAAAACTATTACTAGTTATTTATATAAATTCGAAGTTATTATATAAATACTTTATTAAATTAGATATTATTCGAGAAAAATATCTAATAATTAATATAATATATAAATAATAAAAGATTATAGAAATTAAATAAAAAAAAATTAAAAAAAATTAATTTTATAATAAGAATAAAGCTATTAAATGCTTTTAAATACTTTATTAATATGAATACTATATAAAGAACTATAAAGAAATAAATAAAGTATTAATAAATTAGGAAATAAATATATGAAATAAAAAGAAATAAAAATTTAAAATAAAAGAATATATATAAATATATAAATATATAAAGTATTTAAAAGACTTTAATACTAGACCGAATTAGAAAATTATTATATAATTAGAAAGAAATATTACTTTTTGTATTTTTAGAGAAGTTCTAATATTAATATATTTATTATTTTAGAAATTATATATTTAATTACAGAACTTAAAAGTAATAAAATATAAGATATGAAATATAATTATATAATCTCGTATTTTATAAATAACTCAATTAATAACTAGTTTCTATTAGATTTAATAAATTTAAGAATTATATATTAATATTATAATATTATAATTCTTATTTCAAAATATTAATTACTTTATTAATTTTAATATACTAGTATTTTATATATATTATATAATAGTATTATATATTTCTAATAAACTAATAATAAGAATTAAGTTAATATTTAATAAATACTTGTTTTTATATAATTATTTAATTTTTATTTCTTTTTTATAAAAAGAACTTTAAATAATTTAATATATATTTTACTTATATAATACTTCTTTAATTTATAATTATATTTATTTATTTTCTTATTATATTATATATATATATAAAGTTATTAAACTTTATTTAAAACTTTTAACTTTTTAATTCTTTTATTAAAAATTAAAATTATTAAAAGTAAAAGAATAATTATTAATAAACTAGTATTATTATTAGTTTACTAAAATATATAATATTATTATATAATTATAAAATATTATTTATATTTATTTAGTAAAGTAATTAATATTAAAAAAAGAAATATAATATTATAATATTAATATACTTTCCCTAAATCCATTAAATCTAATTAGAACTAGTTTATTATTCAAATTACTTATATAATATAAGATTATATAACTATATTTCATTACTTATATTTTTTTGCCTCTAATTACTTTTAGGTTATATAATTATATTATATAACTTTTAATAGCTATAGCTATATTAATAATTATATCTTTATTTTTTTTCTATTTAAATATAAAAGAATTTCTTTATTATCTTTAGTAGTTAATTATTAATTAAGTATTTAACGTCGTATTTTTAAATAAATTTAATCGTGTCTTGACCTTGAATCTCGGTTGCCTTTATATAAACACGCCATTTATTATTGATCGTGATTCTAGTGTAGTGATCTTGAAGCGTATCTACGGGGCTTGAGCCTTACAGTCTCAGCATCCCTGCCCGAATTTTTCACCCCGCCTATCGGCCAATACAGAAGAAAAACCCAACTCATGCCAACAGAAAACCTACACCTCATAAAGGTTGAATTGAACAATCTGAAGCCGACGCAGAGCTCCATACGAGTCATTGGTCACATACCTCTCAAGTGACATGTCGATCTCTGAGACACTCAGCCTTCGTCCTGCACGCCTAGGCGATCTTGAGGATATCGTCGCCATTACGATCGCAGCAACGGCAGGCCAAGCATTGATTTCGTTCAACTTTCCGCACCGCCTGGAATTCCCGCAGGATTATTATTATCACTGGAAGACGCTGATAAAAGCTTCATTCTATGACCCAAACTCGATCGTGCTAGTGGTCGAAAAGGTAAGTGGGGATGGAAGGAAGGTGATCGCCTGGGTGGAATGGGAATGGAAGGGAAAGGACCCGGCCCCACATCCGCCATATTGCAATTCTTGGACAAAAGCTATCGGTGGCAAGTTTCCATTCCCTCCAACTTGATGCACAGGAGATAAGAAAATTTCTAATCGACATGGCGGGCTGTTCAGCGAGATTATTCACCATCCAGACAAACATAATCAAGTCATTTTGGACTCGGCACGATGATAATCCAAAGAACCGCTCCACCTGGATCGTAACTAAAAGTCGGATCGATCGCGAGTACTGGTCCTCACAATCGCGGCTCATTTATCTATCTGCACTCTACACCCAGCCCGAGTTCCAAGGCCAAGGCTCGGGCACTCTGTTGAAGAATTGGGGGCTAGCTCTAGCAAAACAACATCATACCGTGCTTGGAGTGATCGCCAGCCACCCTCCTTCGGTGGTTATTTACAAGCATTGGGGATTTGAGGAAGTCGAGGTAGTACGGATGCAGCAGGAAGGCGAGCCGGAATATGTTGATATACACGTGCTCCGTCACGGGCCACCAGATAATTAGGATCCTGTCAAGAATCTAGGGTAAGATTACTTTCGCTCAATTGGAGTTAAAGGAGTTGTCATTATATTCAAGCCGTACTACCACTATGAAAATCGAGTAGAAGTCCCTGCAACTGAGTCCAAGAGATTGAAAAGCAAGAAAGGATGGATTCGTATGTTTCAACCATTCTTGTCTGCATTCATGGCAAACGACGCCATTGCCTTCACATTCCATATCTCTTCCCGTCCATTCTTTGTATTCGGACCATATATTTCGTCCCAAATCCTCTGCAATGGGGCAGCAAGTGGTGCAGTCCTCTTGGGGTCCTGCAGCCAAAGCCTGAGCACGTGACGATTCATTTCTGTCGGAGCCGCTTCACGAGAGCTGGACTCAGCATATGGCTCCCTCCCATGGAACAGACATACATTGTTGAAGTAGAGGATGTCTCCAGGCTGGGTTGGCGTAGAGAAGGAGTACTTCTCGGCAAGAATCTGAAGAGCATCCAAAGCTTCTATCTGCGTCTGCGTCAACGGATCAAGATCTGCCTTCCTTTGTCGGCTCCCTTTGTACCCGGAGAAGGGAAGCCTTGTATACTGTATCGTAATTCCATCTTCTCCATGGCGGTACAGTAAGGGAAGCTTTCGTGCTCGAGATTCCGGTCGGTAGTATCTGTCGAAGAATCAGCCTCCTCCGCATCAGTCCAGATATTCACGAGTCTGCCCACGTATCAATAAACCAGTCTTCGGCCAATACCTTGATAAGATCTGGACGGATTGCCGCAAGTTCGTTGTATACTCTGGATTGGCTCACAAGTTGTGTGCGTCCACCTTGCTCTACTGTAGATGAGTAATACAAAGCCACGATATCGCCATCATCAGTATGAAATGCCTATCGAAGGTGTCTTAGCAGAAGCACTATTGTTTGATGCAGGTAGTTTTACTTACCAAAGGTTCGTTGCTATAACTGGGTGGAACATATTCACCTGGGTAATTGCTGTGTCTTTTGAACAAATGCGCTGTCCGTTGCGTAAGTCCTTTTCCATGAACAATCAAACGTCGTCCTCACCAAGGACATGTTTTCGATCAATGTCCTGGAAACCTCTCCGGGGGCCAACATAGGCGGAGACACCTGCAAATAACACGGCGCTCTCTTCCTCGGTTCGTTGTATGGCTTTCAATCCTCGCAAGATGCAGAAGCCGAGTCCATTATGACAGGTGTCTGAGATCCGATCGAGCTTCTCTGTCAGGCTCCGGGGTAGGATGAAGGTCTCTTCGCTAATCTGTTGGAGTTCTATCTTTGAATCTGCAAAAATGTATTGGTGAGATTTTCTGACAATGGAGGTTGCGAACCTATGAAAGCTTTGATAGCCTCTTCAACAGCATAAGCTTCAATCTGGCTCAGCTCCACCATCCATTGTGACTCCAAACCAGCGAGATCACCAGGCGTCCATGTCATAGAGGTCTGTACTTGAGATGGGAAGCCGGCAGGCAGCTCTGCTTTCACCAAAATATCGAGCCTTGTGTCGACATAATGCTCGTGATCGATTTGGTAGGGAATGTCTCCAAATGCGGGACTCCTAGATTCGACAGATAGAACGTCAGGGGAGGCCATTTTCAAAGAGAGCCGCTGGAGCTCGAAGAATGATGTCAAGTAATTGCGCAACTTCAGGCAAGCTTGGTGAGGCGGCTCATATTGATGAAAACTCCATTGTTATCTGCTTCAACCTGGTGTACCTGCCATGTGAGGCAGGGTTTGGATGAGTTATTGCCCCCACGCATCCAGCAAGAGTCCACAAATCACACCTGCACGATTCCGCCAGCGCTACAATTATCGCGGCATGCTATTATCCTCGTGAGCGCACTGGCGAGTCATAACGATAGTCCGTGTCACCTGCAACTCTCACCCACACCAGAACCTTCACTCATCCACTCAGCATAAAAGAGTCGAATTGCCGAGCCCAACCGTTTCGGGCCGTAATATCCACACCAGACCACTTGCAAGGGGTCAGTCAATCGACCCTTGAGATCCGACAACGTTATTACTCGTGTGTGAGCTGTGATAGGGCACGCCAACCATGACCTAAGCAGAGCACATGATGCCTGGCATTTCAAATGAAAGGAGAGGGCGAAGAACAACCGGAAAAGAGCTAAGCACCATCAACCTAGACCCCCACTCGGCTATTCATCTCCGTCTTCAGCCTCACGCAAATGATTAATGTGTGGAAGCCGTGTACCGAAAGGAGTATTCTTGAGGGCTGCCACCAGTACGGCTAGTGCGAGAAGACCGCAACTTACGCCTATACCATTTTTGTCAGCCTGACTGAGCATGTGGAGGAAGCCTTAAGCTCTATGAGCGGACATGCTTACCGAAGACTTTACGAAGCGCTATAACAAAACAATTAAGAACACGGCTACCTATCTCTGGTGGTAATTTGCGCACATTTTCCAGACTTTGTAAGCTCTTAGCTATCAACTAAATAAGGCATCAGTGTCGAAACAAAACTCCCCTTTGCACCACACGGGATCGAATCACCTTATCTGTTCCTGGGGAGTGACCGAATGCGCGCTGCATACCAGCAATAAACCACTGGCGCTGGAGTGCTGAAGATACGGCAATGCCAATGTCCGCAAACACGGAGACCGTCAATTCGAAGAAGGCATATGACATGCTTCGATCTGAATCGACCGATTAGACTCTTTCAGTCTTAGGAAAGGAGAGGAAAGAGCAAAGCGGCGACATACCTTCCATTGCAGTACTCGCGAACAGACCTACGATCAAGCAGTTTTGTATCGCTCCAAGTGCCACACCATTGGAAATCAAAGCAGGAGCAAAATGGGCGTTTTCAGGTTCCACAGAGACGTAAGTAGATTGTTAGGCGGAGGAAGGGATATGGTACTCACGAATGATACCGGTTGAAATCAACAGATATAGAGTAAAGGCGCTTGCTATGGATACAACGAGAAGCCATTTGTACTGACGGGATTTCGCAATAAGCCACCCAGAGAAAACTGATCCCAGAGACACGCCAAGGAATTGGCAAGTCAATATCCAATTTGTGAAAGTGTTATCAGGGTTTGATCGGACTTCGGCATAAAATGTGATGTGGATATCAAGCTGAAACAAGGTCATTAGCAATAACTTCAAAATACATGGCGCGAGGTTCATCTAAGCAGAGTGGTACGCACCTGGTTCCGGGCGAAAATGGTCAATCCAGTGCAAGCAAGTACCGCCAAAGATTGGGGATTCTTCAACATGTGTAGCGGAAGCAGCGTTGATTTGCTGTTATAGCGCTCGTGATAAGTAAAGAAAGTCAATAGAACGAGTGTCAGACAGAGAAGAGTGATCTCAATTGGATGTGCCCCAGGAAGCACATTACCCCAAAGGTTGAGACCAACTAAAGGAACAAGCACAGTGAATAGAAGGAGGATGCCGCCAAGAATATCAAAGGTATGAACTGGTGCGGCGAGAGTTGTAGAAGGTTCTGGCGGTTGACTGTCCGCCCGGTCCAAGATTGCGGGTGATCGCAGCGCCAGGAGCAAGATCAGAGTTGCAGCACCCGCCAGTGTGGATTCTACTAGGAATGGTCTAGATCGGGGGTAAGAATGGGTATAGGACGGTACCTCTTGGCACTCACATGTGCCATGATGTCGCTGAGGCGAGGAGCGAACCTAATGGACCACCGCTCATGAAGCCAAAGCTCTGGACAATGACTAGAACGCTCCTCCAGAGCGGCAGGTTTGCCAAGGGCACCAGATCTGCAAAGATATATCAGCGCATTCATGCACAATACCAGTCATGACTACCCGTTAGCATAACAATCGCAAGTAGCAGAACTCCAGATGATCCAGTGCCGAATAAGACGCGACCTAAAGCTAGTTGCCAAATATTTTGACTGGCAAAGCTATTAACTAATGCGTCAGTATACTTCTTTGACAGATGGAGAAAGGGCAGCTGGGAAGGAGAGAGACTAGCCAGGCGAGAAGCCCAATTGAAAGAAGAATGGATGCTACGATCATTGGCCGAAGGGTCCCTTTTAACTTGGCAAGATAGCCGTACTATGGTAGAGTGAACAAGCCAGTCTAGGACACACTCCAAGAGACTCACAATCGGCTGACATGTTGCATCGCTGATGGATCCAGCAAGTGGTATCCAGGCCGCATTTCGCAGTTCGCCGAGGTCCGAAGCTTTTGCAGGCAAAGAAATCAGCGCCCTGAGCCGCGAGGTCACGATAGACTGGTAGTTACCGAAGCGTCTGCTGTAGTTCGCCATGCAATATGCGATGTCGAACGAAATTACGAATGCTCTGTGTCCGAATGAATCCTCCGGTCGTGCAAACATGCCGGAGCGTTCTTTGGCTGACTTACGCGAGGAGAACCCCGAGTGCAATTGCATACAGCGCATATTTGTAAGTCGGTTTCTCCAAGTCGGGATTGTGAGTGTGGTTTTCACGCTGTTGGGTCTGAATCAAGGGCGAGCCCTCGCCGGGACTCGAAACATCTGCGTCCCTGTACGTGTCCATGGAGGGAATCGGATAGAGAAAGATCGACTGCGAATGGCAATGGACTGACCGCCAACAGTAAAGGTCTGCGTAAGATGGAGTTGAGTTGTGAGGGGAGGGAGGAACAGATATGCGGGCTGGGTGAGGCTCCGTCGGGCTTCGGTTCGCTCCCTCACACCCTATCGCATTCACCTTCTTTTTTTTTTGTGCCTTCGCAAAAAAGGACGAAGACAGACATCGGTCAGGTACAGGGTACAAGCGTGCCGTGTGCTGTGGCGTGCCGCGGACTAGGCTGGGTTGACGAGGCAGAGTGCAGGAAAACTGACAACGCAAACGCGCCAGATGACGACAAGGCCACAGCCATCTCACATGGCGTTAGGTACCAGTATCTTAGGCACCTACAATGGTGTCACCACACTCCGAATCGTCGCTCTGGGGCGCCCAAAGGAGCGCCCAGTGTCGAGGCTCAGCATCGCTTTGGATGTCCAGATTGCCAGCAATGTGTTTCGTGTTTCCCCATCCCAATATGCCTCCCTAACCGCTCGGTTCGCCTACTTGCGGCTGTCATATAGCTCCGAGTCCTGCACTCCCGCAAGACAATGATCCACAACGTGCCCCACCGGCCCCCTGCATAGGTAAATAGATTCCCAGCCTCAGATCCCGCAACCAGGCGCCAGCCTCAACTCATATCAACACAACTCGCATTCTATTATGCCGACTGAGAAAGAGGCGGCGCCAGAGCCAGTTCCCGGGGTTGACCCTCTCCCATTTGCACCTTTGTCCAGCGATAACTCCTCCGCATATCCGAATTATCCCCAAGACCAGTGGGACCTCCTAAACAACCACTTCCAGGTGGGCCAGGTTCCCCAACAGACTTCAAATCCACCGGATAACCTAATCTGGCCCGAATTTGAGCTCGACCAGGCTTTCTTGAACTCCCTAGGTGATAATCAAGGGGGAAACATTCCCGTTTCCCTCTACAATGATGCGTACACGAACAGCGTCGGCCTTGGCCACCAAAGTGTCGTACAATCTGGGGCATTCGACAACTGGAATCTTGACCAGCGTCTGTTCGCCCCTGACTTTGGCCACCATGTTCCTGCAGATGAAGATATACATGGCGGCTTCTCCCGCACCTCAGTAGCAAGTACAATTCCTCCAAGTCTACACGGCCACATCGCTGTCAGCGGAATTGAATTGCCTTTGCCGGATGCATCCTTTCCTACTAGCCAAGGCCTGCCTCCAGAATTCTGGGAACTGGGCCTCCTTCCCTCCTCGCTCCTCCAGGAGACGGAAGTCACTTCTGCAGATGTTACCTTCGATCCAGCTTTCGGAACGCCAGACCCACTGACATTTGGGGACCAACACCGTGCAGAGTTCAGTCCCAGCGGTACAGGATCAACCCCAAGTACTGAAACCAGCGTTTCGATGAGTGGGATATCAAGTACGCCGAAGTCCGGAGGATCGCGGACATCCGAGAATATCGACCACGAACTGAGTTACTCTGGCACTCAGAGCAATAAACAGCCCCGTCCACTAACCTTCAGGCTCAATGTCTCTCAATCCAGAGAAAACACCGGGGGGGCCTCAAATTCAGCTTATACACTTCAGAGTAGATTAAGCCAGTTCCACACTGGTAGAGTTCGAAAACAATTCTCGAAGGACCGGCGGAAAGAAATTGCTGTTACCCGTGGAGTTGGCGCATGTTTTCCTTGCCGAATGTGCCATGTAACGGTGAGTGTTGTTGTGGTGCTAAGGTAGAAATTGAGAGGCAATCTTTGACTTTTCTTGACTAGTGCCGGCCAAACGAGGTCACCGGCGTTTGTATGAGATGTTGCTCACGCGGCGTTTCGCTGCATGGTCTTTGCTTCAGGCTTGATATTACCGACTGTCTATTCTACAGGACAGGTACGCCCATCATTGAATCGTACGCGCTATGTTTAGGATGGATGCAATTGTTGACTCATTTTTAGGCTCCGCGATCCAATCGGGCGCCTGGCAGAATGATCTTGAATGGTCAGCGTCGAAGGCAGTCACTCTTAAACTCTGTATACCGAAGATTCCCGGTGCGCCGCAGATATCCATCAGCTGTCGCCCATTCCGACCTGGGCTAGGGGATAAAGTAGAAGACTATGTTCGTGGAGAGGTGATCGGCGAGAAGTTAGTGAGCCCAACATATGCGGCATGCAATACCCAAGCTCTTGCAAAGGAGATTCGATCCAAAGCAAGATTTTCAGGCAGAGCCTATGTGGATGTCATGGAAACGGAGAATGCATCGGCGTTGGTGGTGAAGATTTTGCGAGGAGCGTTCACGTTTGCGGTGAGTCCGTTCGAGCAACACCCAGTGAGGAATGCGAAATTAATTACATCACACAGAATGAACATCCTCGGAGCATCCTCAATTCCGCATTGGACTTGTGGTCCTGTACCAGAATGAACGCCTATGACAGATCACTGGCTTCAGAGGAAACACTTGGCCAGGAAAAAGTCTCCGATCCTTCTTCTCCTTTTTTCGATATAGTTCCAATTCCCCCCAAGCTCGATTACCAATGCGACATGGTGGGTATCAAATGGCAGAACTCCCTTGCGGAACTCTTGATGAAAGTACTGTGGAAGCAATTGTTGAAGAAGACTCGAGACCAGTGGCTTGAGGTTTTTCTAGTCGTATTTGTCATGCTCAATAACGTAGAATTTGTCTATGGTATCGGCAAGGAACTATCTGAGCAGTACGGACTACATGCTGTAAGTTGGCACTACATTATGGACGGGAAGTCAGTGAAAAATTTGCGCTGATGTTCTAAGCAGGAAGATGGCGCTCGAATTCAACAGACTCTATCAACATACCTAGAAAGATGGAATTGGTCAGCCAAACACCTACGGCATGTCTACAAGACGTACTTCAAGGGACGCTATCCTTTCTCCGATTCCGAGCTCCTTGCCGTAGCGAAGCGGCAGTACCCTACTGAAGCAACAAAGGAGTTGGTTGAATTCCTCTCGACAGCGCAAGGTGAGTTCAAACTGCGACCAGGATACGAAAATCCCCCAGAGAGAGTATATTAATAACGTCTAACATCTTGCCAGAAGCCAATTCATTTCAAAGTCACGACCAGAAAGCGCTCCCCTAAGTGCCGGACTAGGTGCCTCTAGTCATAATAGAGGCACTTCTTCTTATTAATGCTCCCGCCATTAGTAGTTTAGGCTATCGACTGCTTAACCACCTCGCAACGAACTACTCCCTGAAGGTTAAATCGATTAGAATGTGAGGTTTATAATAGCAGTGTGACGACTGAGCGGAGCAACGAACGTAGGCATAAAGATCTGTGTGGTGGTAAATAAGTAAGTATAGCCAAAACTGCTAAAACGCCGAGCTTAGCCTAAAATCTAACTAAAACCAACTTGTAGCAACCCATGTAACGCCGGCTGTTACAAGCGGGGTACTATGCAGGTAGTTAAGGTAAGGTAAAGTATAGAGTAATGCTTGCAAGTATAATTAATTCCAAGAAGTGACTCTAATAAGAGACTAGCAGCGCAGCGGATATCAGAAATAACCAGACAAAACGCGGCGATCGGTCTCAAGTCGGTGGGATCGACTGGTTTAGAATCACAGACAAGTATATTCGGCCTCCTTCAGACTCGTAGATCAAAAAATTGGAGGCAAAGGACGCCATATGCCCGCAGACTCGTTAGCATTATGGCTGCATCAAAGTGGTCCTTGACAACGCACCTGCAGACCGCTCAATGTTTGCAAATAAAGTCATTCGGCTCCTTGATATTGCACATATTGCCTGGGCTCCTCAATCCCCTGACTTGAATGCTATTGAGCATGCATAAGACTCTGTGCGAAAGCGGGTAAAGGAGAGGGTGCCTTTCCCGCAAGCAGAAGAGAAGGTGAATTTGGCATGGGAGGAGGAACGGTAGAAGACACCGGTCCGAGAGGTTGATAAGTGGATTGAAAAGCTAATAGGCACTTTACAAAAGCCGAAGAGTATAAGGAGGGTAATTGTATCCATGCTTGAGTTGTGTTATTAGATCAAATCAATGTTCCCTTTATAATTGTTCCCTCCTTCTAGAGAGCATTCACGTAGCTCTGGGGACACCACCATACCCGTCAACTCCTAATCCTGATTCGTTCGCGGACTAACTATTGGTAAACTAGGCCTTCTAATCCACCCTACAAATGTCCCTTCACGTGTACGGAGGTACAGCGGGTAAGTAAAGTAATAGCGCTAGCAGGGGTCCAAACTTTTCAACCTTGTAACGCAACAACATCAACGGATAAAAATGTTAAAAAAAATACACTAATATATTCACCAAATCTTAGGGAGTATTCCGGCATTTTAAAAATGATATTTGGTCAGGTATAGCAAGAGTTGTGTGGTGTTGAAATCGTGTGTTCGCGGCGACCCCCTGTCAAAACATTACTTTACTTGACCGCTGTACCTTCGTAATTGCAATGCCTTGTTCGTTAGCGCGGTCGGAGGTGCGGTGTTCAAATAGTGCAGTGTCACCAATATTAGGAGCGCGATTATGGCCCGGGAAGCTAAGGGGACGTCTGCCGGATTGTAAACGTAATGACTAAGCAAAGGCGAGTTCGCTGATACCAAAATCGTACTAATTGAGTCATTTTTAATAGCGTTATTAATGTTAGAAGATAGAGTGTTTCGACGATTTCTGGTCATTTTGATGCTTTCGGCGCGCCCGAGTACGAGGTAGTTTGCCGTACTATGGCATCCACAACGTTACGTGGACTGCGACACACGCCATTTTAGGAAACCGGTGAATGCGCCGGGTAAGACCTTGCATATAAATGACTGGTAATATCGGGAGCCCAGTATCCAATGAAAGAAGGGCGAACGATTTCTTCCAGCGTGAGGCACGCCAAACCAATGAAGTCCCAGTAACGTACTTCCGGGAAAACCCCAATCGACACCCCTAATCGACACCTGGAGGGGGGTCGTTCTAGTTTTCCTCGTGCTTCCCCAGCATCCTTAACTTATATATAAACATGTATCTGCTCAGTAGGCCTATCTATCCATCTATTTCCTTCTTACAAATAAATCATTAAAGAATCGTTCAATATAACACAACCCCGGCAACCTCCGAAAACAGCCCATCAATCGATAATTACACGTCAGAGCAATGCGCGTCAGGGTAGCAACAACCCGAGACCTGCACCGTCTCACGGAGATCACGACGACTTCACTGATCGATGATCCGACCTACGACTATCTCAGCCCCAATCGTCTAGAGTATCCCGAAGACAACTCAACATGGATGCGATTGAAGCTCGAGAAGCATCTTTATGACAGACGTTCAACATTCTTGGTTGTGGAGCTTGATGGAAGTGAGGTTGAAGGCAATACTAGCTTGTTGAAGAGTAGGGGTCCGGTTTCCACCATCATTTCTTACGGGATCTGGGTAAGATTGGGTGATAATGCGGCTGCAAAGGAGACATTCCGGAAGAAGAACACGTGGTTAAATGCTCTCGATTGTGAGCCCCTTGATCGTGTTGAATTTTTTTCGTTTTTTTCGTGACATTGTTCGTCTCGCACGAACATTGCGCCAAGAAAACTTCCACTGACATATGCATCCCACCAGCCTTGGCAGCGCAGGCCTCCCGATGGTCTATAAGCCAGAAATACCCCCGTCGCGATGCATCCCAACCTCGCCTATCTGCTACAGATGCCGCAACAAAAGAGGTTACAAAAAAATACTTCTCGGATTCCCCCGACTGGTGGTCTCTCGAGCTTTTAGTAACGGATCGGGACTTCCGCCGCCGAGGAGCAGCAACCAAGGTTCTCACATGGGGGACGGATCAAGCTGATGTTGAGGATGTGTTTTGCGGTATTGAGGCTTCCCCGATGGGTTCGAAGCTATATGCGGCCAATGGGTTCGAGAAGTTAGACACCTGGGTTGTGCAGGTTCACGGAGAGGAAGAGAAACTTGTTTTTGATATTATGAAACGAAAAAGAAAGGGAGGTTTAGGCCCTGTTTCGCAACCTTTGAATGCTAGTATTTGGTCAGTATTGGAACACCAGCTTTCGATATTAGGAATTTTCCTGTTTCACAAATACTTGTGCTAGCAACCATTACTAGCATCGATTACTAGTATTTGCTCTCATACAAATCACAGTGTTTTTTTTAGAACTACTTATTATAAGTAGTTCTAAAAAACTAAATATTTAAATACTAGCTTATTCTTTTTAATTACTTTTGCAGCGGTTATTAAGGCATAATATTTTAATTATTATATAAATACCGCGGTTCTTATATAATTTTTATTATAAATTCTCTTTAATAAGAAAGCTATAATAAAGTAATTAATTAATTTTGCCTTAAGAAAAAAAACAAATAGTAAACTATAATACTTTATAATTATAAGAAGTAATTACTAAAAAAAAAAGTAAGCCTTTTAATTTAAAATTATTAAAAATTACTTTAAAACTTTTAAAATTATAATAACTATTAAGTTTTTATTTTTTATAAAATACTTTTAAATTATATAAATATTAGTTTTAAATATTAAGTATTAAATACTAATATAATAGCTTATATAAAGTTTAATATTTTTTTTATATATATTTTATATATATTCTTATAATTATATAATTATATTATATATATTTATTAAATAATAATAAAAATTACAAATATAAGATCTAAAGCTTAGAAGAAATAATTTTAAATTATTTTTATTTCAATAATTTAAAGCTAAAGAAAGGAAAAGAATCTCGAAAGAATCTTGAATTTAAATAATTATAAATTATATATAAGCCTATATACTTATTAAATAAAATTATAATATATAATCTTAAAAGATTTTTTAGTTATATTTTATAATTCCAGAAAAGGATTATTTTTAATATAATTAAACTCATATTATAAGTTTTAAAGTAATTCTAATTATTTAAGATTTTTAATATAAAAGTTTAAAGAGCTAAAAAGTTATTACTTAATAAGAAAACTAGATATTATTTTAATTTTAAATTGTATTCTTTTTATTATATTTAATATTTAAGCTTTTTATAAAATAGCTTTATTACTAATATTTTTTAAACTTTATATTTTATTTTCTTATTTTATAATTCTAATAATAAAGGCTCTAAATTTACTTGTTTTAAAAAAGAAATTTTTAAATCTTTATATAATTTCTTTATATAAAATACTAGATATATTTTTATTAATTTTAATAATTTAAACTTTAAGAATATATTTAATTTATTTTAAGATCTTATATTAGCCTTTTATTTAATAAGCTAGTTTATAACTTAAAAAATTATTCTTTTAATATTTACAAATAATTTATAATTTATTTCTTATTTTAAAGTTTATTAATTATATAATATAAATAAAATTATATATAACTAAATTATATATAATAAACTTTAGATATTAATTAAGGAAATTAGTAATTCTTTTATATTATATTATTACTAATTATATTATAAGCTTTAGACTTATAATTCTCTAATTATATATATATTATTAAAGCTTATTATTTAAAGAAAGCTTTTTAAATCTTATAAGAAAACCAAAAATTGGTTTTTTATTAAATTTAATATTATAATTCTATATTTTACTAATTTATTTTATTATTTTATTATTTTATTATTTTATTATTTTATTATTTTATTATTTTATTATTTTATTATTTTATTATTTTATTATTTTATTATTTTTTTTATTAAGTTAGATATACTATCCTCAGCTAGTAGTATAACTTACTAAAAGCTGCGGTAAAAACAAATTATTAATATTACATTACATTATTAATAATTAATATGTTTTATAATTAATTATAAATTCTTCTTATATATAATATGATTACAGGCCTATATTAGCTAGGCTAACTTATATATTTATCTAATATTTATATATATTATATATATTATCTTCTTAAAATTTAATATTATTAAAATAAAAGCTATTTTAATTATTTTTTAAAATTGAATTTTAGGCCTTATAATATTAATTATAATACATAATTAAAAATATTAGTTTAATTTATATTAAAAAAGTTAAAATAAAAGTTTGATAATACACTCTAATATTAGTATAGCTATTTTTTAGAAGTTCTATATATATACAGGTATAGAAGTCCGGAATATAAAATCATAAGTAATAGAATATAGGTCAATAAGATTAAGATATAGGATATACGTTATATAATCTCTAGTATCTATAAATACACTATAACTAGTAGTTAGTTCCTAATTTGGTTAGTAGATTATAGGGATTATATATTTAATATTATAATACTATATACTTATTTCTAAATAATAACTTTACTAACTTTATATAAATAGTTTTTATTTCAATATAATAATACCTATATATTACTACAGTAAATTACAGTACTATTAGTTAGTACTTTATAAATTCAGAATAGAATAGTGATACTAAACAGAGGTATTTAATAGCCCTTAATAATATTAGATTAGTATATTAAAGGAGGGAATTCTATCTATTTTATAAAAAAAGTATCCGGTAGCCTTAAAAGAAAATGACTCAGTTCTTAATTAATTAATAAGTACATTAGTTTTTAATTATCTATTTATTCATTTCTATTATTCTTTAAAATTAACTTCTTTTGGCCCTAAAACTACTCTTTTTAAAAACTATTTTTTTTCTATTTATATATACTTTTTTAGCGAAGAACTGCTTTCTAAAATATATGAGTTGCCTCATATACTATCCTT